TCTTTCTGTGACAGAGGGGTGTTCTGCTAATGATGAGTCTGTTCTGTGCTTCTATCGCGTTGGACATGGTTCATGTTAAACTTTTCAGAGATTATACGTCTGCAGGTCATAGCACAGACCATATATATGCATTAGCGTTTTAGTGGTGAATTACTTTGCGATGCATCGACCTACATCAGTGTATCAGCGATTTCAGGCGTCCACATAGTGTCGGTTTAGATCTGACGAATTCATGGGAGCTGATGGCACCAGATCGTTCCATCTCTGGAGCTTTTTTTCCATCCGATTAATGTGAATGAACACTGCATCCTCAGCAAAAACATCTCAAATACGGACTAGTGTGGATGGGGCCTGAGTGATACTCACGGTTCACAGCAGGAAGGTTCTGGGTTCAATCTGAGACTTTCTGTGAGGAGTTTGATTTTCCCCGTGTCTGGGTGTGTTTCCTCTGGGCACTCTGGTTTCCCTCATCACTCCAACACCAAGAGGTCAAATCCTCCAGCTAAGGTCCAAGACTAACTCAAGACCTGGAGATGGGTCCCTGAGCATTGAACTCCAGAGCTCACTGCTCCTGACAGGCCGTCCCAGCGGTACTGAAGGATGGGTCAAACGCAGAGGACACATTTACCTATGGGGATAATAAAGTGTAACAGTGCATTTCATGATTTTCAGGAAATAAAGTGCTTCATTAGAATCAAACAGCAGCACACAGTCGTCTCATTATGACCTCCAGACCTGCTTATACAATATAGATAGTCTGTATTTTGTTCAAGTTTAGGTAATATCAATAAATCAGGTACAGCCCTTCAGGTTTCTTATTATAGTACATACATGTCACATATAACATATCCTAGTTCCTCCTGGTTTGGTCCTGGTTTATTTCTGGCTTAGTCCTGATTTAGTCCTGGTTTCGTACTGGTTTATTCCTGGTTTTGTTCCCGGTTAATCGTGGTTTAGTCCTGGTTTAGTCCTGGTTTATTCCTAGTTTAGTTCTGTCTTGTTCTTGTTTTGGTCCTGGTTTAGTCCTGTTTTAGTCCTGGTTTATTCCTGGTTTATTCCTGGTTTAGTCCTGGTTTAGTCCTGGATTAGTCTTGATTTAATACTGGTTTAGTCCTGGTTTAATCCTGATTTAATCCTGGTTTAGTACTGGTTTAGTCCTGGTTGATCCCTGATATAGTCTGGTTTGGTCTTGGTTTAGTCCTGATTTAGTCCTGGTTTATTCCTTGTTTAGTCCTGATTTTGTCCCAGTTTATTCCTTGTTTATCCATGATATAGTCCTGGTTTAGCCCTGGTTTCGTCCTGGTTTGGTCTTGGTTTAGTCCTGATTTAGTCCTGGTTTATTCCTTGTTTAGTCCTGATTTTGTCCCAGTTTATTCCTTGTTTATCCATGATATAGTCCTGGTTTAGCCCTGGTTTCATCCTGGTTTGGTCTTGGTTTAGTCCTGATTTAGTCCTGATTTAGTCCTGGTTTAGTCCCGGTTTAGTCCAGGTTTAGTCCAGGTTTAGTCCTGATTTAGTCCTGGTTTAGTCCTGATTTAGTCCCGGTTTAGTCCAGGTTTAGTCTTGGTTTAGTCCTGGTTTAGTCCTGGTTTAATCCCGGTTTATTCTTGGTTTAATCATGGTTTAGTCCTGGATTAGTCTTGATTTAATACTGGTTTAGTCCTGGTTTAATCCTGGTTTAGTACTGGTTTAGTCCTGGTTGATCCCTGATATAGTTCTGGTTTGGTCTTGGTTTAGTCCTGATTTAGTCCTGGTTTATTCCTTGTTTAGTCCTGATTTTGTCCCAGTTTATTCCTTGTTTATCCATGATATAGTCCTGGTTTAGCCCTGGTTTCATCCTGGTTTGGTCTTGGTTTAGTCCTGATTTAGTCCTGATTTAGTCCTGGTTTAGTCCTGGTTTAGTCCCGGTTTAGTCCAGGTTTAGTCCAGGTTTAGTCCTGATTTAGTCCTGGTTTAGTCCTGATTTAGTTCCGGTTTAGTCCAGGTTTAGTCTTGGTTTAGTCCTGGTTTAATCCTGGTTTAATCCCGGTTTATTCTTGGTTTAATCATGGTTTAGTCCTGGTTTAGTCTTGGTTTAGTCCTGGTGTAGACCTGGTTTATTCCTTGTTTAATCCTGGTTTAGTCCTGGTTTAGTCCTCGTTTCGTCCTCCTTTCGTCCTTATCTTCACAGTAAACATATTGTAACAGTTCAAATCCATAACCTTACTCTTCTTGTCAAACTCGTCTCGTTTTTTTATCAGTCTCTGCTCGGCGACTTCACTTATTTGTCCGTCCGGCCGATACGTTATCATTGCGTTCCTTTAATAACTCCACTTTGGCGTCGTGTATCCTCCGAAAGTACGCTCGGACCCCGACGCTTTCGGACCGAACATAAAGTTATCAGTAACGAGCACGCCTCCCCTCCGCTGAAAACCACAATGGTCCCTATGTTATCGCTAATTAAGAAGTTGACTGAGGCATGAAGATTAGGCCGCGCACTGTCCTACGTGATCGGCATTTGACAGCGCCGCTCGGCATTCTGGGTAATGGCACTGGAGATTCTTGCCGGTTGTTTGTTGATGTCCTTTTGTGAGGGGAGAGAGAGAGTGTAAATTAGAAGTGGCGGTCAATGGAGGAGCGTCTAATCAGAGCAGAGGCACGGCGGTGGAGACAGGGGCTGCAGTGTGAAACAGAATTTAAATGGCCAATATTCGCCTCGTTTTGTGTAAGGATGGAACAGTAATGGAAATATCGTGATATCGTATCGTTGAAAGTCTCACAGTATATCGAATTACAAGTTTCTTTGCTTAAATTCATAGTTATGGTGCAGCATCAACAACAAAAAATTTGAGAACTACATATACCATGATCCTTTGCTCTGTTTCAGTCCAATCTACATGATGAAAAAACTTATTAAGCACCTTTAAATCTTAATTTTCTTGGATAATAAGGGAGGTAGCATATTTACAATTTTGTTTCCCTTCACAAAATATCACAATAAATATCGTACCGTGAGATGCATATTGTGAAAATATCGCATCAAGAGATTTGGATTGGATTGGTTTTGAGTGGTTTGGACTTTTTTAGGTTTATTTTAGTTTGCATTTTGCTCTAATTACCCCAATTACTAATAAGTAATGTTTTGGTATCTATATTTTTTGCATTTCAATACTATATTTTAAGTCAGATATTAAGACTTGCAAGTCATGATTTGGACTCAAGTCAGACTTGAGTCCCTTGAGACTTGACTTGGGACTTTGACTTGGACTTGAAGGTCAGTGACTTGGCCATATGACTTGATGCTTCTCCTAAAAAATACATGTTTTTAGAAACTACTTTTATCTTTACAGTTGATAAATTTGGTGCTTAATTTTACAGGAACAAACTGGAACATGTCCCTCCCACTTCTCTATTTGTTACTATGGCAACAGTAATTGAAGTACTGTGATGTGGTATCCTCAAATGTACTACAGTAATGTACAGTACAATACAGTAAAACAGAGGGAACTACACAGAACTTGATCCTTCCATTCAGTGCAGACTACGTGACAAAATGATTAAGCACTTTTAAATCTTAATTCTTTCTGTTCTGACTAATGAATCACATCCACACTCAAAATATTTGAAAAGGAAAAATGAGTATTTCTACAACTCTTATATAAATACTCATAAATAAATATTCCATGACTTTTTGAGTACAGCTTAGATTAAAATTCATATAAAGTGCAAAATACCAAAGCTATATTTGGTACTTTGGTTTAAAGACTTGAAATGACTTGGAGCTAATCTTGTCAATATGTCTGTACTGTGTTTTTGTTGTATGTGCTGATGTTGTGGAGGGGTTTCTTTTTTTCTTTGTGTACTGGTTCCAGATAGTTAGTTATGAAAAAGATAGTTATGTCACAGATAGTAATCTCAAGACTCATGTTTATCTTAGCTTTGTAGGGTGAGGTGGGATGTGGGATTGTTTTTAATCACTGTAAAGCGCTGTGCGTTGCATAATTTATATATATATATATATATATATATATATATATATATATATATATAAATAATATATATTCTGTTAATAAAGTTTGATTGGTTGATTGATTGAAGCTTATAGCAGACGACTTGGACTTGATTTGGACTTATGGGTCACTGATTTGAGACTCGACTTGGACTTGCCTGTATTTGACTTGGGACTTGACTCAGACTTGAGGCCAAAAACTTGAGACTTGTAAAACAACGACCTGGCCCCATCTCTCACTTAAGTTTAAAGAAGCACTATGTATTTAACCCTGTATTTTACCAGGAAGTCCCTTGATATCTCTTTTACTTTTTTGGTGAGGTTCCCCCCGACCTGCTTGTCTCCATACAAATGTCCTTGCACAGTGTGACCTATCTCCATGGAGAAAAGCAGGTGGTTAAGGTCAAATTATGTAATTAAAATGACTTCAATTCAGAACATTTGAGTAGATTCAACTTGACAAATAATATTATCTACCAATGGAATAAGTGTGTTTTTCTTAACTCAAGAAACATTCGATTTTCTTTCTAATTGCAGTGCAAAATTTGTTGATTTTCTGATTTTAAGTGCAGCAAGATGTATTTTCATATTTTAAACACAAAAAGTCTTATTCCACTCACAGATAATTTTACTTGTCAAGTGAAATTTAATCAGATCATGATAAAACTTTCTTAACCCAAGTCATCTTAACTTGAGTAGAGATTTTTTTTGCAGTGTGGTACATAATAATAATAATAATAATAATAATAATAATAATAAATTAATAAATATTAAAAATAATATCTCACCTCTTGTACCAGTGAAACCATTTCTTTCTGATCAGATTACAAGCCTCAGACAGAGCAGAACCTACAGTTACATCAGGGAATGTTGATGACAATATCAATTAAATTTTTGTACCAAGAAAACAAAGAAACAAGAAAAAAGTTGCAGTAGCACTAAGTGTTCTCCATGCTCTAACACCCTCCTCCTGTTCTTCCCCTCCTCCTCTCCTGCCTCCTGTTTCCTCCAGGGCCGCCCGCTGTACCTGCAGTCGTCCAGAAACGTCTCGGTCAATATCTACAACAGCAACAACGAGCTGCTCACTCAGCTCGTGACAGGTGAGCGCCACGGACCCGTCAAACACTATGAAGATTCTCACAGCTTCAAACCTCAGCCTCGTGTGACTCTGAACAGGAGTTTGATCACTAAAATAAGGCTCTGGTTTAAGAGTTGTCTTTTGTTTAATTCACACACATTTAACACACAAACCCTGCATATTTAGGCTGATTTCTTCTCACAGGAAGAGAACCACTGTTTTTTTAAACTCCATACACCTTCATTAGAATAATTTGGGTCATTTCAGCCCTTGAATCTCCACTTAACAAAAGGTAGAAAGGTCTATAGTTTGGCAACACAGCCTGAGTGCAGAAAGCACCGCTGTTTGTGCAGTTTACACATGGATCGATATTGTCAGCGCACTCAAATAGTTCTCTGTGTGATAAAATAAGTTACCGTATTTTCCACACCATAGGGCACACTCTTAAGCCTCCAACCCCATCAAAAAAAACGGTTGCACACCCCACAATCCAGAGTGCCCTATACATGAATCTTTTCAGGTGTCCCAGCACGACTTCAGTAAACTACAAAGCCGCACCACCCGCAGCGCACGCAAACACGCACGGAGCAGACAGCGACCGCATGGCGAAAAACACCCACAGCCACACTCATCACTCCATGCGGACGAGGAACGGAACGGAGGAACGAACTGAAAAAGCGAGTGCAATGCGAGTGCGAGTGACAACTGAGTCACTGCGAACACGCCAACAATCCAGCGATCCCAGACAGCACCCTCCCTACACACCACAACTGAACAAAGCCCAGAGTCACCGTGAACACGCCAAACAAAGTCCGACTGACCTATCTAGCTGTTGTGTTTCGTTTAAAGTCCGGTGCAGTTTATTTGTGAAAAAAGTTCAAAAATAGACCATTCTATGACAGTGCATCTTATAATCCAGAGCGCCTAATAGTGCGGAAAATACGGTATGATGCTAAATGAACATTAGTGAGAGGGATACGTCTTACCCATATGTGTAAACGACGAGAAGAAACGTCTTAAACTTCAGCCGCACATCCACTCATACCTGATTGAAAGAACTAACCTAGCCCACGAGAGAGCCTGAAATCTGCTGAAATTCTACAAGACTCTTTCTGCAAGAGATATGATACGAGACAGGACAGTGGCTCTTTCTGCAGGAGACATGCACATTAGAGCGTGGGGAGAGATGGAGGTGATGCGCCGAGGAAGATGCTCATTTGATTGTGTTTTGAACAGTTATATTGCGCTTCAAAAACACACGAAGAAATGCAGATGATGCAGCTTTTAAGTTAAAGACAATTGATGTGACTGTGGAAGAAGGAAAGAGAGCTGCTGCACATGAGCTTGGCGTCAGTGAGTCGATGATGAGATGTTGGCAACAGAAGTGTGACGAATTGACTCAAAAAGACGACAAAAGCTTTCAGAGGCAATAAAAGCAGAAAGCCCGAACTTGAAAACATTCTTGAAGACGTGGACACCTGCTGCTTATGTTCAGGTGCGACCTATATATGTACAATTTTTAAATTTAGTTAAAATTTAGTTGTTGCGGTTTAAATTCAGGTGCGCTCAATAGTCCGGAAAATACGGTAATTTAAACATGGCTTAAATTTTTGCAAGAATCCATTTTGCGTTATAGCGGACCATTAAGATCTACATTAAAGCTCACTGCGTAACATTCCAGGCAATAAACACTCATCTTAAGGCACTTATTCATTAACTTGAGGTTTTATTACGCTAAACTACTGTAAATTGTATGGATGTGTTTTATTACTGTAAGTGGTAAGGTATAGCTTCATTCTTTACTCCTCCCCTCTTCTTTTCACTCTTCTACACCTATCCTCTGTTACGTCCTCACTGCTCCCTCTCTCCTCTCCTTCTCAACCCCCTTTTCTCTCCTTTCTCTTCCTCTCCTCCTTTCGTCTTCCTTCTTTTCTCCTCTTCCACCTTCTTTCTCTACCTAGCCTCTTTCCCTCCTCCTTCTCTTCCTCTTCCTCCTCTCCTTCCCACATAAAGACTGACAGAATCGATCCGGCTCACATGCAGCATTTGTAGAGTCTGTTCGTCGCCGCGGGAGACCAGCGCTCACACAACTCGGTGCAGCTTGTCCCTCTTTGATTTTCCAAAGCTCACAATCAAAGAGGTGACATTCAGACGACGCTACAGGATGGGGAAAAACAGTTCAGTTTTTACCCTGGGTTTAATCCTCTCACATAAATATGGAAGTCTTCAATACTTGTTTGTCTGTTAATAATGTGTACTTGTGTAAAAACATTCTAAAAGGCTATTGTCAAATTTATTTTCCAAGCCATTTGCTATTTTTGGTACTGAAAATATTTTATTAATGGTCCGATATTACACAAAGTTGACTCTTGTGAGCTCTTAGCCACGTTATAAAGCTGTTATCTCCTCCGAAACATACCTGAGTTTAGTTTCATTCACACATGGTTGAGTAATCCTTTGTTTTTAGTCCGTCTAAAAAGAAAGTAACAACAGAAAGGTGGACCTGATGAGCCGGCCAAACAGAACAAAAAGGTGCAACACCGGGCCAACCCCATACAGGGCTGCAGAAGCCTGTGCCAGCACCCGTAACTAAAGACAAAAACTCAACAAACCAAACTCACAGAAAAAGCGAAAACAGGAGAGACGGTCCCTAGCCTGATTCATCCGCTGGTTTCACTTTGTGGAAACCATTTGACCTCGCAGCATTAGGATTCGTTTGCTCGACAGTAGGCGGGTACTTTTTTTATTTAACCAATCGCTGCTATTTGGTTGTGTCGTTTGTAATGAGCCTCTAACAGGACTTTCCTCAAATCCCGTAGGAAGAAGGGCAATAATGTCTTTCTCCTTGATAAAATTCACCAAACATTCTCTTTGTTCTGGCTTTAAATCCTCGATCTCGGGAATCGTTGCCAACACAGAATGTTTGTCTTCGTCTACATCTATGTCGACCGCTTTGTTTACTGTTGTGTTGTACCACAAAAAGGACCCAGACAGAAGCTTGAGTTTGACGTCATGGCTTCACAGCTCTTCGCTGATTGGCTGGTGCGCGGTCTACAACTTCCAGGGTTTTTGCGAACTGACTAGTGTATTCCAATTCCTGACCTAGTTGCTGGAGAGAGATGAAATTGAGTGGAGGCACTAGGTGGCGCCGGTCCCACTAGGTCAAAACAAAAAGCTAATGGCTAACAAAAAGACATATCTGAAAATGCTCTGTTCCTCCTTGTGATGTCATGAAGCAGTAGTTTTCAAGTTAACAGCCCGTTTTAACTTTAGTTCAGGCTGATCCAGGGCTGAAATCATCCCAAATGATTCTAGTGAAGGTGCATGGAGTTTAAAAACAAACTGGAGCACTTCCTGTATTGCAGGGTTTCAGATGACATCACTACATTTTATAGGCCAGTATTGTTTAATAGAGATGGGGGGCAGCTAAAATTAATATTGTTCAAGTATCGATTTTTGTTGCGATATAGCACGGTCTTGGGTCTGGTCAATAACTGAAATGATCAGGTTTTATATTTTGGAATTTACCTTTCTAATAATTCATGGCAAAGTAAAATGTAATCAATGAAGTAAGACACCATCACATTTTAGAATCTAAAAACTACCAATTACCACGTGACATCAGAGTGTTTTGTGTTTGAGAGAAGAACTCAGCCTAAATATGAATAGTTTAAACATGTGTGGTTGAAACAAAACACAGCTCCAGGTTTGTTTGTGATGAAGAAACATTATAACATGCACCAGCGTAACATGGGCCTTTTAAAGCAGCTCTCGGGTTATAATGAGGCCTGTGTGTGCTCTCTGCTTCTAATTCTAAAGCATTTTTATCATTCGTGAAGTAGTTTGGTTGCCGTGCTCTTGTCTGTGAAAGTTGTGAAAGCACTCAAACTCATCATGGTCAATAATTATATGCTCAGAAAATACAATGAAACTGAAGAATGGATTACTGCAAACATCTTAAAATGAACTAGTTCCGTTTTTGACCTTTTAACCAGTGCCTTTAATTTGTTTTGTTTTTCACATTTTCTTTTAATCAAAAACTCTTAAAATTATTCTTCACTTTTGTGTGAATATTTGAACTCAATTTCACCGCCTCATTCAAAATTGGCCTGAAGGCTTTTCATAAAAATATTTACCTGACTTTTTTTTTTGACAAACGCTTCAACTTTTTATTTATCAAGATGCAGTTCACGGTGCAGATTTTAAACATCTCCAGGATGTGTTGACAGTGGAGATATGACTTGAATCTGAACTGCAAAACTAATACAGGACCAACATTTCAGAACTTACTGTATTTATACCAGAACCACACACTTTAACAGCATGTTTTTTTTCTTATTTAAAGGTTTAGAATGTGGTATGTCACCTTCATGATGATGGAAATAGAAAGTTAAAGCCATACTTTGGAACATTCTCCAGAATTTTGTTAGTCAGGCTGGCGCCACCTAGTGCCTCCGCTCAATTTAATTTCTCTCCAGCAACTAGGTCAGGAATCAGAATACACTAGACGGTTTGAAGAGCCCCGGAAGTGGAAGTTCATTCACCAGCCAATCAGCAAAGAGCCTTACATTCTGTGCTGGCAACGATCCCCGAGATCAAGGATTTAAAGCTGGAACAAAGAGAATGTTTGGTGAATTTTATCAAGAGGAAAGACGTTATTGCCCTTCTTCCTACGGGATTTGGGAAAATCTTAATATACCAGTTAGCCCCGTTAGTGGTGCATTACATACATCACGACCAAATAGCAGCGATTGGTTACATTTTAAAAAAGTACCCGCCTACCGTCAAGCGAACGAATTCTAATGTTGCAAGGTCAGACAGTTTCTACGAAGTGAAACCGTCTGATGAATCAGGCTAGAGTTTTGTAGCATAACATGGAAAATTATAGCCAAAGTACCAATATTTCCCTGGAAACAAGCAGGCCAAGTAAATGTCAGATTACACACTGTGTCTTTATTTAGAACCTCTAGGGATGCACATTGTATTGCAACTAAATTGCCGGGGATAAATCTTCATCTATACATTTGGAACAGTTTCATGGCAACAAGCATGAAAAGTCCCTTCTCCGAGCCAAGGAAATTTCAGGTTTGTGGAGATACTGTATATATTTAGTCCATTTTTTATCTATTTATTTTTTGTGTGGCAAAATACATACTGTGGTTTTATTGAAGACACCCAGGAAGAGAATATACAGATATTTTGGTCTTGATGAAATCTTTAACTTACATGTATAGTTTTTTTTTTTTTTTTTCTATCAGTGATGAATCTTGATCTACACCCTCCCTGTCAGTTCCACATCCTGTTGTCAGCGGAGCTTATATTTTATTTCATATTATTTTCTGGAGTGTTATTTCTCTGTCACACCACTTTGTGAAGGGTCACAGACGTTTCTCTAGATTTGATTCTGAAGCTCAGAGTTTGTGCTGGATGTGATTTGGTCCCTCCGGTGCGAGGAGACTGGACTCACTCACAGAGGTTTACTGTAGAGTCAGAAACACACCCAACTAAAGAAACAAGGAGCAAGGGTCAGCAACTACATATTTTATTTTCTTTCTGGTATGTCATATGAGGTGATTTTGAGGACCTAAAATCATAAATGATCCAAAGCATAATTGAAGTTGTTTTTTGTTTCATTTATGCATGTTTGAGTAATCCTCATTGGATATTTTTTTTATCAAATCATTAAATCCTAGGATTATGTTACTTCTGGGTTCCAAGACACATCAGCTGATATATATTACTGTGAAAGTGTGTTTGCTGCCGTATAATGTAGAGTAAAGTAAAAGGTGTTTCATGTTAAATCTCTGTGCATTTTTGTGCAGGATCTAGCGGGTTGAAAGCGCGAGGAAAAGCGTTTGAAGTGAAGTCGACGACGGGGAAGCTGCTGTTCTCCGCTGATGAGGATGAGGTCGTGGTGGGCGCCGAGAAGCTCCGGGTCATGGGTGAGTCCAGAGACGGGATACAAGAGGGACACAAGTGGGACCCTTCCAGTTTGGGACAGGAAGTACTCTTAAACTATGGTCTGGAGAGAGGGGCAGGGACAAGAGACATGCTCCGAGTCATGGTTCAAAGTGCTTTACCAAATAAAATAGACATTAAATCACAATACAAACAAATCAAAACATAAATAATCATCATACAATTTAAATTAAATGAGAAGAGTGTGGAATAAAAACTTAGAGCTGAAACTATTTTGAGCAAGACTAGCTTTAAAACATAAACCGCTTTTTTATACAGTTTATGTTTTAAACATTGTCAAAGTAGAGGCCTGTGTCACATGTTCAGGAAGACTGTTCCAGGTTTTAGCTGCATTAAACTGAAACTCTGTCTCCCCGTGTTTAGTCCTGACTCTGGGCACCAGCAGGAGGCTGGTCCCTGAGCTCCTCAGAGTGTGAGATGGTTCATTTGGCTCTAACATGTCAGAGATGTACTTTGGGACTAGGCCAAAGAAAGACTTGTACACAAGCAGAGCCGCTTTAAAGTCTATTCTCTGAGCCACAGGAGCCAGTGCAGGACTTCTGTGTTCTTACTTCTTGATTCTAGTCACAAAATGTAAGATGAATGTTTTCTTTTCTGTCGTGTGGTGCACATGCTCAGAACTCACTGTTGTCCGTGTGATTGATCAGGCTCAGGCCTGTCTGGATTTTGGTTCCAGAGACAGAGACAAAGTGCGACAGTAGTTCCTTTGTGTGAGGTGGTGTCATGTCCCTGTGCCTGTATACATTTATATCTTATAGTGCCATCAAAAGTCCATAAAAGAGATAGAAGCGAGAATATATTAATACTTTATCATCTGTACTCGACATCCAGAACCACTTTTGATCTAAAAATGTCCTTTATCACTCACATCCTCCAGTTTATACATCTACAAAACCTGTGTCACTTTAATAGGCTACATTTTTAATACTCTCAGATCTGCAGCTGTTACTTCCCACTCAAATCTGTTTGCTTCTTGTCAGAACCTCTCTCTTCTCTCCTCCGCTGTCTTATAAAACAAAGCACACGCTGTCAGACCGAGTGACACTCAAACGCACAGAGACACCATGTTGTGTTTAGTTTGTGCTGGTGGACAGAAGAGGCTCAGATCAGGAGGTCCAAAGTGACGGGTGAAGTGGAGTTTAAACCGGTATTTTCTTAAAGAAGAGTTGTCATGACATTCGGCGCGAGGAGGTGACATCTTTCTCTTTTTTTATAGTTTTTGAATAACATTGACTGACTGGACAGACAGGTGAATGCATAAAAAGCTAGAAGACAATGTTTCAAAAAGAAGCAAAAATGCCAAAGCTTGAGTTGACACATTTGAACTTATTTTTAGTGTTCACTGGTGATCTATGAACGTCTCTGCTGCTGAACATGATCTAACAATTTATCTTCAACTTAAAGGTGCACTGTGTGTTTTTTCTGGTGGAAGGTTGGTCAAATGCTTTTCTCTGTTTAGATGTTATTACTTTGTCTGGAATGTTTCACAGTATAGTATTAAATGTTTCTATCATCATGGAGACCAAACCAGAGCAAGTTACAGGTCAGATCTGTGGAGAGGTGACCACGCTCACAGTCAGAATGCCTGTTTTTCCACATATTTGTGAGCAATAAATCCACCTGTAATTGAATACCGTATATTTCGGACTATTAGTCGCTCTGGAGTTTAAGTCGCACCAGCGACGTGCGCAGTAGAGTGAAGTGACAGTGGTACAGGAGTAACAGGAGCAGCAGACACTGACCACACAAGCCGAGAGCGCTCTCTCACTGCTGTCAGTGTGAACATTTTAATATATAAGTCACACCATAGTATAAGTTGCAGGACCACACAAATCATGACAAAAGTGCGACTTACAGTCCGAAAGATATGGTAAATGTAAATGTAGAGCTGTTTAATGTCATACTGTGGAACATTCCAGGCAGATTGAAGACATATCCATAGAAACAAGCAGGTGATGGACCAAAAAGTTCCATAGTGTACCTTTAATGATGCTGTATCTTATTATCACTCTTAAAAGCATGAGCAACAGAACTAGTTCATATTAAATGGTTTACAATGCCGCAAAGTTATTCCTCACTTTCCTTATTCCTTCTGAGTATCCTATGTATTAACCACAAAGTCCGAGTCAGAGGTAATGCTTAAAGCAACTAGCATGCTAACACCACCCTTCCTGAGTTTCGGACAGTAAAACACTCTTAAATTACATGCAGAAAGAACACAGTTATTTTGACGTGAAGAGCAGCTTATAGAATATATCTGTACTTGCATTTTGCTCAGATACATTGAATACAGGCCCTTTTCTATAGTTTTCTTTAATGAATTGTTATTTCTTATTGGGTTATTAGCATCAAAGGCCTATTCAGGCAATAATAAAAGGTAATAGCAGAAACTGTATTGTGTCTCCCACAGCGCCCCTCAAATTAATTAGCCTTTTAAAAAATGTGCCCTTTAAAATCGTATTTAAACACATTTCACTGTGTAGTTTATTCAGTTTCTATCCTATTGAGGCAAGGCATGGGTCAGTTTTCACCTTTGCTGTGACACTTGAATGCATCACACAATACTACTAAAAGCTTTTATTACAGTAAATGCAGCGTGTCACGTTTACATGCAAAGTTTATGTGGGACGCAGGTTTGGGCCAATCCAGTACAGGCTAGTCCAACATAGGCTAGTCAAAAAAAAAAGTTGTGCAGGGCCAAAATGTTGGTAAGACTGTTAAGAGTATATGGCTATGTTCAGACTGCTGCCTGAAGTGACCCAAATCTGATTTTTTTCGCCCCTGTGCAACCTGTATCTGATCTTTTATTGACAGTTTGAACAACACAGATCCGATTTTTTTCAAATGTGACCCAGGCCACTTGGATACGTCGTACTAAAACTGATACATATTCAATCTTTTGACATGCGACTTCAGTCTGAACGGTCAGGTCGCATTCATCCCACCTACACATCAGGGTTGGAGTCTAGGCAATGGAGGGAAAGAGAGGTTAGCGAGTTAATTCATATTTGGGGGATCGCTGTATTCAGGACAAATTTGAGGCATCGTATCGAAGCATTTTTTTTTTTTTATTATTGCCAAAGAAATGTCCAAGCGCAGCTACAGGCGGTCCTGGCTCCAACGTCAACAAAAAATAAAGAGCCTTCAAGCCAAATACAAGGAGGCTAAAGACTCAAACAAAGTGACCGTGGACGTGGAACCTGTCCATTTTACGAAGAACTGGACTGTATTTTGGGAGACAAGTCCAGCATTTAGGCGCCTTCCATAAATACTGCGCATGCTGTCGTGTCCTCCAATGCACATGCGGGATACTTAGGGAGCGTTTAAAGTTCACATTAGAGATCACATACAAGTCTCATTTAACTGCAAAAAAAATCTGATTTCACAAAAAAATCTGAATTAAGCCCTGCACTCTGAACATAGCCTATGGTAGCCTAAGCAATGAAAAAGTGAGGTTGTCTTACAAATAATGTAATTTTTAAAAAACAACTCTAAAATAAAAGCAATACAGCTTTAGTCCAATAATGAGGTAAAATAATAAAAGAAGTTTATTTTGTTATTAAACGGGCCGGTCAGAGTCAACCAAAGGGTCATATGTGGCCGGGAGCTGTAGTCCATCATAGGCTAGTCCAACGTAGGCCAATCCAATGTAATCCAGTTCAAAGTAGGCTAGTCCATCATAGGCCAGTCCAACAAGTTTGAGCATCAATACCTGAAGCACCAGACATCAGAATTGAAAGAGCTGAACTTTTGGCACATCGTGTTTCAAGTGTCTGCCCTCAAATACAAAGCTGTGCAAGTAGAGCTGTTTTATTTTGACACAGCATATCACTTTTTATTATTTATGACAACTGTTAGACATTTTTACACTGCTTTTTTTTCTTTCTGACATCGTGTCATAACTCCCCAGCAGTGTTGGGAGTAACTCGTTATAAAAGTAAAAAATTTCTGTAATGCATTGCTTTTTGCTGTAACGCAGTAATGTAAGGCATTACAGGGTAATATTTTACTTGGTACAAATGTGAGTAATGCGCGTTACAATGTTTTTTTAACCTGGATTGAAGTGGTGAGTTTTTCTTCATACAAATTCGCTAAAATTACCGCAATATCAACAGCGGTGAAACGGCGGAGACGTGCCCGTGTAGACCGTTGGGCAAGCGAAAGGACCGACACAGAACTCCACACTCCACGGGGCGAGACGCAGCTGATGCCCTGTTCTACAGACTCGGGGTTCTCTCAGGGACGGTCCTAGATTCCAAGTTCTAGTACAAGATTAGTCTTGGTTTGGTCCTGGTTTAGTCCTGGTTTATTCCTGGTTTAGACCTGGTTCAGTCCTGGTTCAGTCTGGGTTCAGCTCTGGGTCAGTTCTGGTTTAGACCTAGTTTAGTCCTGGTTTAGTCCTTGGTTCAGTCCTGGATCAGTCTGGGTTCAGCTCTGGTTCAGTTATGGTTTAGTCCTAGTTTAGTCCTGGTTTAGACCTAGTTTATACCTAGTTTAGTCCTGGTTTAGTCCTGTTGAAGTAAAAATTCAGCATCTTCAGTTGTTTTGGTGAGAGTAATTTAAAAGTGCTGCAACTAGTCGTGTAATGCCTCACATTTTAAATGCAGTAATATTGTTATGTATCAGTTACTTTGAAATGACAGTAACAAGTCATAAATAAGGCATTACAGTTTTAAAATAACTTGCCCAACAGTGCTCCCCAGCCTCTTGTACAAACTGTAGTCGAGCCCACGCGCCCTGGTAGAGCTGTAACACAGGTCTACAGCTTGTTTCCGCTCCCTGTGCAGTGAACACAGAGTGAAGGTTACACTTTTGCTCTCACCATCGCCCGCTTTGTAAGTCACTGGGTCCAGCCACAGTCCAGGGACGTATTTTCTGTCCAAATACACACGACTCTGCCCCCAAAGCCGCTCCCAGAATAGGCACGTGCAGGGCAGTGGTGCGGAGGCGAGAGGTGGAGCTG